AGTGGCAACCCTGGCTGGGGGGCACAACCATGCCCCTACTAGAGCCCATCACCCAGGGCAGCTGCCCCCAGCCCTCCTAATCCCTGCCTGCCAGAACAGCTTTGGGCACAGCCTGGGCTGCGGGGGGAGCTGGCCCTGTCCCCCCCCAGGACCCCCCCGTGGCCACGCACCCCCTGCTCTGCCCACACCTGTATTTATTTTTACTCCTTCTCTCATTTCTTCCTTTGTCACCTGTGTAAATACCAGCTCAGCTCTGACACAAAAAGCTCTTGACTTTATATAAATATCATATATATATTATATATAAAAATACCTTATTTTCTATTTTTGTATGACTGGGTTCTGACCCCCGAGGTAGATGCTTTGGGAACATCCACATTCCCTATTCCATATTGTTGGGGCATTTTACGGCTGTGTTATGATTTGGATTACAATTAAAAACCAGAATAAACAGTGCTGCGTGTCCGGTTTTGTTGGCGGGTTCTGGGGTCGCAGGAAACCTTGTTCTCCTTGTGGCTGTGCATCCACACCAGGGTTTTGGGGATGTGGGGAGCTGCATCCCCTCTGCTCCAGCTCCATGCTGGGGTTTTCCAGCCCAGCCAAGGCTGCTCCGTGCAGTGGGAGGGAAGGGGAGAGCAGGGAAGAGCAAACCCGCTCGGCAGATAAATCTGTTCCCAATCTCGGGCCGTGCCATGAGGGTTTGGTATTTCACAAAACAATTCCTGCCGGTAATTGGGTCCCGATGTGGGATGTTTCCCGGGCAGCAGCCTGCGGCTTGGCGTGCTGAGCTCCACAGGAACTGCTGCCGGATCCCCCTGGCCCGCATCCCCTGTGCCGGGGGCGGCATGGCACAGCCCCCGACCCCTGGCCAATCCCCCCAGAGCCATCACCAGCCCGGCAGCACATCACAGAGAATCCATGAACCGTTTAGGTTGGAAAAGACATCTCACATAACCCAGGGTGGGCGTGGGGGGTTCTGCTACAGCCGCTCTCTGCTCGCCCAGCTCAGCAGCATCCCCCTCCTTTTGGGGGTGGGTGTCCAGGAGTTCTCACAACACTGCCCATGCCTTTCTAGGTGCCACCACAGGCGGTGGTGTGTGGCCTGGGTTCCTCCACGGCCGCCGGCAGCGCTTCCTGCCCACGGCAGCTGCCGGTCCTGCCCGCCCCGCCGCAGGGTCCGGCCCCGGAGCGGCTGGCGGGTGGCTCCGTGCCGAGCCCGCGGGCACGGGCTGCGGCGGCAACGGCAGCTCCTGTGATGAGCGGGAGATTTCAGCTTCCAAAACACGGCTGTGAGTCAGGCGCCGCCTTCCCACCGGTTTTTGGGTGGTCTGGGACAAGCCGGGACAGGCGCCGGCTCTGCAGGCTCCCTGCCAGCGCGGATGCCCTCGGGCTGGCAGCGCTGTCCCGGCATTCCAGGGGGTCTCTGCCCCACGCTGTCACTGCCAGCACCTCACTGGGATTTGGGACTTCTTTGGAAGCTGGCAGCCTGGCAGGGATCTGTCCTCTGCTGGATGTCCCCAAAGCCGCCGATGCCTGCGGCTTGCATCTCCCGACCCCGCGCAAGGCCCTGCAGCAGCCGCGGCAATTTGTGCCAGCAATTCGCCGATAAAACAAACAGCCAGGAGCAGGGAATGTCTGAGTCTGTCCCCGGAGACACCGGGCAGAGCCACACACGTGTCTGAGCTGAGAGCCAGCAGCGGCTCGGCACACTCTCCGGCCACTGCGGGCACCCAGCTCCGGCGGGGCGAGCGCCCGTGGGTGCGCGGGGGAGGCGGGCGAGGCTCCCGACGGGATCCCTGCGGGCTCGGCCAGCCCGGCGCAGCTGGGAGCCCGCCTGCCCCCGGGGGGTGTCTGTGGTTCCCCCTCTTTGGGGGGTCACGTCGCGCGGTGGGGAGGGTGCGGTGTGGGACGGGATGGAACAGGATGAGGCGGGACGGGATGAGACGGGCTGGGACGGGATGGGGAGCCACACCCCGGCGGGAAGGCAGCTGGGGATGCTCTGGGGTGGCAGCACCTGGATGCAGATCCTGGCTCCTCTGGGGCACGGCCTGCACTCCCCTCCCTCCTGCATCCCCTGCTCCATCCACACATGCCCAGGACAAGTCAGGGGGACCAAAACACAGGGAGAGCAGTGGGATGGGGACTGAGGGTTTATTGAGGAATGTAAATTTTGCCACAGCAGGAGGATGTATGGGGGCTTTTGGTGTAGCCTAGGGGGTACATAACACCCCTTGCCAATGGGCAGAGAGGGGCTCCAGCCCTGACCTGGGTCAAGAAACCCCGAGCATCAGCTCCCAGCACCTCCAGAGCTGGAGGATGTGGAAGTTCTGGCCCTCTTCTCCCCTCCTGTGAGACATCTCAGCCCCTCTTCCCACAGCCTGCCTGCCCCCAGGACTCCCAGCCACCCTAGGGCTTCAGCCACCCCTCCCGAGGGCGGAACCTTCGCACAACGTGATGCACCCAGTCAATGTAGTTGGAGATCTTGGTGTAGATATCAGGGAACCGGCGGTCCCCACATCTCTCCCCAGAGAAAGAGACGATGCCATGAACCTTGTCCTTGAAGACCAGGGGTCCCCCGGAGTCACCCTGCAGAATGAGGGGGTGGGAGGGAGATCTGAGGGTCTCCCATAGGGGGACAGCGTGGGGCGGGGGGCGGGGCTGCACTCACGGTACAGACTCCCTGCAGCGTGGTGTCGCGGCTGGCCCCGCACAGCATGTTGGCCGAGACCTTGCCCCTCCACAGCGTCCGGCAGAGGTTCCTCTTGACGATGGTGGTGTTGGTCTCCATCAGCTCCGTGGGCTGGTCTCCAAAGTTGGAGGTGTCCCCCCAGCCCATCACGGAGCAGACAGTGCCGGGTTTCAGGTCGATGTGTGGGGAGGGCAGGCGGATCCTCTTCACGTACTTGTTCAGCGTGGCCGACCTGTTCAGCTGGGGGGCAGCGAGGGCGTGGGTGGCTTTGCTGCTGGGGCAGAACCCCCCCAGCTGCTCCTGCCTGGTTCTCCCTCCCACCCCGTCTCAGCGCTCCTGCTGACCCCCCCAGCCCTGCCCTTCCCTCTAGAGAGGCTGGGCCCCTCCCTGTCAGCCCCTTTGCAGTGGTCCCAGTCTGCTGTAGAGATTTCGCTGCCCGGGAGCCGCTGACCCGGACAGAGTCGGTGTGTCCTCAGTGCCTCCATCACACCCCATGGCGCGGTCCTGCTTCTCCGGAGAAGCACTGACATCTAGTGTCGGCTCGGTCCCTCGTGGGGCACCCCACCTCCTCCCGGCGCCCTGGACACCCAACCTCCTCCCGGTGCCCTGGGGTTATGGACATTCAACCTCCTCCAGGTGCCCTGGGGCTGTGGGACACCCCATCTCCTCCCGGTGCCCTGGGGCTGTGGGGCACCCCAGCTCCCTCTCACAGCCCAGGGCTGCGGGGTACCCCACTGCCCAGCACAGACTCACCCGGAGCAGGCGGATGTCGTTGTCCGCAGCGCGGAGGTTGTAGAGCGGGTGGGCGATGGACTCGACCACGCTGAAGATCTGCTGGGACTCCTCGGGCTCCTGCAGCCGCTGGGCCCCCAGCACCACCCGCACCGAGGGGCTGAGCCTGTGGCAAGGCGGGGCTCAGAGGGCGCTGCTGTGGCTGGTGGCCATCGGGGAGGGGGGGATTCAAGGGGGACTCAAGGGGGAGGTGGGCAGCTTAACCCTTGGGATGGGGTTATTGGTTAGAAGGGGCCACACCATGTCCAGGGGCACGTGTCCCACGTGGGGACAAGGCTCACCTGGGAATGAAGCAGTGGGCAGCTGTCATCACCCACTTGGGCCACACCAGGAAGCCCCCGCAGACGTGCTCCCCGTCCATCTGGATGGAGGCCATGAAGGGCCGGGAATGGGGTGCTGCCGCCTTTCCCCCGATGATCTGGCTCCCCTGGGTGCCTGGTGGGTGCAGGTGATGGTTGGAGTCCAGGGTTCCCATCTCCCACCGTGGGGATGTGCCCTGGCACCCCCGTTCTCTCATTACCTGCCGAGGCCAGAGCTGGCAGCAGGATGGATCCTCCCAGGCTGAGGATGAAGAGCCCAGCTGTGACCATGGTGGCACAGACAGGGCCACTGCCACCACTGCTGGGGCTGCTCGGGGTGGGGGTGCTTAAATCCGTCCAGGGGCTGAGCCTTGGGGTTGGGGCGGGTATTTCCCTCCTGCTTCCTCCTCCTCGTGTTGCTGCTTTGTGCAATTCAGGGGTCGGGGAGCTCCGTGCAGCTTCCCCCGGAGTGGGAGATGAGGAGCAGAGCAGCTTCCCAGTCCTGACTCCCCTTGTGCCTGGGATGAAACCCCTCTCCGCAGGGAGATGGCAGCAGTGGGGCCCCAGGACATCTCTCAGACTCGACAGTGTCCCCGGGACTGCTGTGGGTGACACAGGGACTGTGCTGTGCTCCCATCCGATGCCTCTTTCAGCCCCTCCAGACCCAGGTGGCTCTGGGATGATGCTGTGGGCAGAAGGGCAGTTTCCTCCCTCTGTTCTGCATCGACGTGGAACGCAAAAAGGGGTGCGGGGGGTGGGGGGCAAGGGGGTGGGGGGATATGTTGACCCTCACTGCAGAGCTCGCCTTGCTGTGGGGCCAAGAGCAGAGTTCTCACCCGGCAGCGGGCAGATTTCCCAACGGAGGGTGGCTTGGGGCTTCCTGCGGCAGTTTGCCCATTGTGGCCGTTGGGTTGGGAAATGGGGGAGCGGAAAGGGGAGCAAAGAGTCGCTGGTTCCAGGAGTGGGGCAGGGCGGAGTGGCTGCACTCACAGGAGGGGGGTCACACACTGCCAGAAGCTGTGTTCTTGGAAGGGCTCTGAATGCAGCCCCTCCAACCGGCCCCGCACCGGGCACTGCACAGCCAGGACCCACTTCGGGACCCCCCAGCAGCTGCCACAGCTCCGGGGACCCCCGAGGTTGGGTGGGGGGGCGGCGGGCCGGGACCCAGCTGGGACCCCAGGAGCAGATGCAAGCCCGGCGCGCCCCGAGGCCGGATGATGGGCGGCGGCAGTGGCGGGGCGCGCCCGGCAGACGGAGCTGTGCGGGAGGGAGGCGGGAGCACCGGCGCGGTCCCGACATCCCTGCGCATCCCGCAGCCCCGCCGGGGATGCCGCCGCCCGCCGGGCCCTGAGCGCCGGGACGCCGGCGGCCGCCGGCTCCGCTCC